AAATAAGTGAAAATCATTAACAGGCAATCGTTCGATGGACTGAATTGCACAAAACGCATGATCGCAGGGGCTAGTCTGGTGCGCGTTGCCATTTATTGATTTTTGAGTTGAAAGTTGGTGACAGAAAGTGCGAATACACACACAGCTTCTTGCCAGTATACGTTTCTGCGTTCACATAACATGCAAAAACGCACAAAAAAGATCGTTAAGAGGAAACTGCTCATTTTCCTTTATGCATGATATATTTACCTTAATAAGTACACAAGATAAATGTAAAGCAACAATCATTCATACAGTTAACGACCTGACTGCTTCAAGTCTACTGCGAAAATGCTTGATCTCACCGGCAAGCCCGGTACTTTTCAGCCTAGGATTCTACTTACCAAGCATGAAATACACTAGTGTGGTATTTTGCGAATCGATTCGTTTTGTGTAAAACAGATTTTCGGAGGTTATTTGATCTTTAAATTTTCCTGTTTTTCGTGCGAAATTTTTAACGAATATCAAATGATGTAACAAAAAACAGTTTCAAGATTCGCAAAATGTTACAAAAAATGAATTAATAACTTAAACGTTTATATACTCTATTTATAAGTTTATATACTCTTTCATTTAAGATTATTCAGGAATGCTCAAAACAAACAATATGTGTAGAAATTTTCAACAACATATAATACAGTCCGATGTTCCTTTCAATCTATTATCAGCGGCTGCAACAGCTGCTGACTATCTTCATCAGCGTCTTCAACATAATTGTCATCATCCAAATTCCTGCTCGCCTTTTCATCGTCTGGCTTTCTTATAGCAACAGAAAGCGGCTTATACAGCGGTTTTTTATAACTGGCTTCGAACGGCGGCACTTGAGATGGTGTTATCAATGACTGTGGTGCAGCTGTGGTAGGACAATTATCAATCACGTTACACGGTCTCGACTCATAACTTTTCCCAACACATCCTTTTGTAAAGTATGGATCATCGTACTGACATATCCTAGTTCGCAACTGTTTCCCACAAAAGCATTTCTGCCAGCTGCTCCATTTCGTCCATTCAGCGGCTGCAAAAATTGTCTGTGAACATTTAACATTATAAAATTAATAGTAAGTGTTATAAGAAAATCACTATAGATCACCTCTTTTCCTATCATCTCCTTTTCTCCACCTTCACGCCCTTCCCCCTTCCCGCCTCGTTTTAATTCCCCCGAAACCCTCCTTGGGTAGTCTGCTTCCAACAAGTTTATTCACTGAAAGCTCATAACATAGAAAGTTAGCATTGCTAAAGCGTTTTAAAACTATCAGGCTTTGAAATCTAATGTGAATTTACGGGTTTTCTCATTCACGGACAGTAGAATCAGCCTGGATTGGTCAATGATTATTGGTGGCGTTGTCGGATAAGCTGGCGTTGTTGGGCCCTTTGGTACCAAATTCAAGTTAATTGCTTTTTGATACGCTTTTTCTTTATTGTTGTCATCGATTATGTCCTGCAACGTCAATAAAATACTTGTTGGCAAAGAACTATCTGCACATATCATAAACACTGTTGAGCTTCTATGGTTTTATACTTTTCTTTTTTCTCGCGTCTCGTCTCATCTAGGTTAAGACTGGGGATGCTGCAATTTCCTTTCATCTCAAACTGTTAATGACGAAAGGGAAAACTCTCTGTTTAAAAAAAATGACTTGTCTAATAACATTCTCATCGCTGTCTTTTCTCTTCTGCCACTTCAAAAATTTGCAGTGAACATTTTTAATAGCAAAATTCGCCAGATAAATCTGCACAAAGCGCATAATCGCATCGGCATCGCGTTATTTCTTTTTTTTCTTTTCGCGTTATGTGCAGTTCCAATTAGCGTCCGTTTGCTGTTAAGAGTGCTTACTGATTTGCTAAAAAACAACTGGAAGTATGTTACGCGGACACTAGCAGAAAAAATTAATCACCTTCATGGCTTTCATAGCCTGCTTCAGTTTTTCGATTTCCTCTTTCATCTTGTCCACTTTTGCATCATCGTTCGATGACTCATCCGATGATAAGTCCTGTAATTATAGCAGTGCAAGTCGGTTGGCACGAAGAACCGTAGGCACCTGGAGTTCCCGCGCACCCGAATTCTCGTGGAGTTCCCGTACACCCGTATTTTTATGCGTTTTTGCTGTGCAGCGCTAGAGCGCTGTAACAGGCAGCAAAAACGCATATTGCAACGGCCCTGTCAGTGTGTCCGTGTGTGTGTGTGTATATGTTTGTGTGTATGTGTGTGTGTGTGTGTGTGTGTGTGTGCGTGTGTGTTCGTCTGTCTGGGTATTTCAACTTGTTAACCACGCAAGCTTTGAAGCTGAAATTTTGCCAGTGTGTTCGCTAGCCAGGTACCACCCCAGGACCGCGGTTCAAACCCTCGCGCACGTCTGGGCCCCGTGTACGAACACGTGAAAGTTTTGGCGCGAAGATCGCTAACTGAGGAACGAGAAAAGCTAGGAAGATGAATCCTTGGGAGAATGTCCCCTACCCATGTATGACAAAAAGAATTCAAATTCAGCTGCCCAGGAGTACCCGGGGCTTACGTGCGGGCACGTGAAAATTATGGCGGGAAAACTCATAATCCGAGAATGAGAAAAGCTAGAAAGTTGAAGTTTTGGGGGAAAGTTCCATACTCATGCACGACCAAAACTTTTCAAACTCAGCTCCTTAGGATTTTCAGGGGCTCACGTACCACTCTTGGCGCAAAAATCACTAACCTCTTGGCGCAAAAATCACTAACCCGAGAACGGAGAAAGCTAGAAAGCTGAAATTTTAAGGGAATATTCCCTACTCATGCACGAGCAAAATCAGGTGTTTAGAAGCGCCCGAGCCCACATAGGAGCGCGCGGAAATTTTAGCGCGAAAATTAGTAACCCGGGAACTAGAAAAGCTAGAAAGTTGAAACTTTCGGGGAATGTTCCCTACTCATGTACGAGCAAAATCAGGTGTTTAGAAGCGCCTGAGCCTATGTTCGAGCGCGTGAAAATTTTGGCGCGAAAATTAGTAACCCGGGAACGGGAAAAGCTACAAAGCTGGAACTTTAGGACAATGTTCACTACTCATGTACGACCAAAAAATTTTAAATTCATCTCCTTAAAACTGTTCAGTACTCACATACGGACACGCGAAAATTTTGATGGGAAAACTGTTAACTCAGGGACGGGAAAGGCTGAAGGCTTTAATTTTTAGGGAATGTTTCCTGCTCATGTGCGACTAAAAGATTTTAAACTTAACTCTTCTAGTGTGGCCTTTT